CAACGCTTTTAAAAGTCAATTTTTATCGATTTTATCGATTCGTTGTTGCAGCCCTAGTTTGCAGGATGAGCCGTTAGCCTCCGGACCTGTGACTGCAGCACCGATGAACAGTTTTTCTTTCTTTGGTTATAAAAAAAAAAAAGTTAATAAATTTGTTGCTCACTGTGACAGATTTTTTCTTCTTTAAAGTCAAATGTTTTTACTGTAATCAAAAAGTGTTACTCTTTTCTGATAATTTCATTTACAATGATATTTAGGATAAAAGAACAGGAAGACATTCTTCCCTAAACCAATGCTGGTCTCACCTGGTGGTACGTGTAGAAGAGCAGACAAATGGAGCAGTAAGGCGGCCGCTGACCCATGGTTTTGTTGTATTCCCACTCTGCCTGCGGGTTGTAAGGCCGACTCTGCCACAAACCGGTGAGAGGCTTTGCCCACTCCTCTTTCTCCTCCTGTTCCACTTCCACACTGACATCCTGATCTAGAGGCAGCGGTATGGAAAGAAATGAGCGAGTTCAAAACTAAAGAAACTAAAGAAGCTGATAAAAACAACAACAAAAGAAAAACATGAACCAACCATCATCGCTGCACGCCTCTCTGATCAGAGGGTGGTGGCGAGGCAGTCTGCACAGCTGAGCTTCCTGCTCCTGCTTCTTTGAAACAGACTTGCAGTAAGACTGCTCCTCTGCCACCTGCTGGAGAAAAAGGGGAACAGCAGGACATGACTTTAAAATCAACATCATATCCTTCCTTTAGACAGAATACTGGAGCTTATCTTGCATTATTTGGTCCCATTGGGGCCTCTGTACTGGTGTCCATCCATTTCCACATAAAAATGAACCCTTATATGTCAGAAATTAATTAAAAAATATGGGTCACATTAACTACTTACATGATAAGTTGGAGAAATCACATTGAACTGAATCTGCTCTTGCTGCTGTGCAGGACTGGTGTCTTTCAGCACGATAATGGCGCTATCCGCTAGCGGACACTCGAAACTCTGCGGTTTAAACAGTAGATTCAGTAGATTTACAGGATCAAACGAGGCAGAGAGCCGCTTTCCGTGAAAAAATACGCCGTTTAAAAGCGGTTTCTGCCAATCGAATGAAGTTATTCAGATTATTTTATTAGTAGGATTAGTATCAGAGGGAGAGTGTTATATTAAAGGTCATGCGATTAGAGTTCACCAGTACAGAGACACCAGAGGGCGCTTTGGTTCAACCAACAGGATTAAATCCATACATGATGATTACATTTACAACCATTATAGATGATACTACCAGTTAGTAGACATAGCAGACTTCATGCTGGGCTTAAAG